GGGTATAAGCTCATTTCAAAAAGAAAAAAAAAAAACCCTAGAATGAACATATCTAAGAATTGGAAATACTGGGCTTTCCTCGTTGTTGACACCTCCCATTGATAGAAACTCTCCCCTTTTCATCTACTCTCTCCACCCCCAATTTCTTCGCCACGCCATTGCACCCCCTGCCTGCACCTTTTCTCCACTCTTGCTCACCTCCCAGCGGGATGCTCAACTTACACTAGATCATTCTGCCATTTTTTCCCTTATTCACATGTCGTTTTATGCAAATTTTTTTTTCCCCTATTCTTCTATGGTAATTCTAGGGTTCTGTAATATTATTCTTAACTGAGATTGTGAATGGGAAGAAAATCCAAGCAAAAATTAAGATATATTCATACATCACTCAAATGATGTTGGAGAAAATGGGAAAGATAAATTGAGCTGTTTTAGTTCTTGTTGCAGAAAAAGAGAAAGATAAATTGAGCTGATTTTGTGGTTTTATAAAGTGAAGATATGCATATCTTATAATTGGAAGTATATGCAGAGATTGTCCATATGAATCAAGAAAAAGATTCGGAGATATGCAATGAGCTTTCGACTAGGGGTCTTGTCATTTTTTTCTGGATACGCAAAAAACTTCAACCTATAAAAATAAGGCAAAATATGTTCCCAACTGTCTAATTTATTTGTTATATTATCAAAAAATCTTTTTTATTGGCCATGTATTACTAGGGAATCATCAACTTATAGAATGAACCGCTAAACTGCATTAACTAAAAATAGGTAAAACCTGATTTTCATCTTCATGATGAAATACAATATTTTTCATATATTGGGTTCTTCCAGCCAAACAACATTGTGTTCAAAAGTAGATTTTATGTATACTAGAATATGCAAAACCAAGTATTGAGACAATTCAAGGATTTGTGTATCTAAGGACCCATATGACCCATAAGGGAAGATGAGATGTACAAGAAAGTCCTACCAGTACGTAAAAGGGGCATGACTGATGTAAGACACCACTATTAATAATGAAAGTAAGGTGCTCCTTCAAATTTGGTCAGAGAAGGTACTTTTGGAACTATGAACTCTTATGATGACCTGAAAATATGTCTCCACATGTAATCATAAAGTGTAAAGCTCCATAGATCAATCAAATAAATAAATAATTGAAATTCTTGAAGATGGACATTTCAAATAATATGCTTCAGGATGAATTAGTTTTAAGTCTTATAAATCTTTTTTATCATTTCTAAGCATGATCCAAATGATCAATTGGAAAAAAAGTTGACATCAAAGCAACCTTTCTTATTGGTTAGGAAAAGGAGACATACGTGAAGCTCCTTAGTGTTATGATGGGGATTTAATATATTTTTTCAATATTAATTTAGAATCTGTCGAAAATAAAACTCTAAATATTATGGCACCCACCACTCTTAATAACATATTCATGTGCCTAGAGCACGTTCTCTTCCACCCAGGAGGTTTTCTGGAGGGTTTAAATAGGTTTAAGTAAAAAGGAAGACAAATTATTCT